AGAAAAAAAGTACTAATATTGTTACATTATCTGACTAAGGTAATAAAATATAGAATTTCGTTTTTTTTACCCAGTCATCATTCCTATTTGTAATCATTGTCGCGTTTGTACGTACAGCGGAATACCAAATATTTAATTTTCTTTTTTAATCTAAATGCAATCAAAATCTTTCTTGATTTTATGTACCTACTTCTGTAAATAAGTAATTAGTTTTTTGATAACATAAATATCAATGAACATTGTGATTGCAACCAATTACCTTTTGATATAACAAAATTATTCTTTTAAATAATTTGCATGCACTTTTTGTTTGCTAACGGTACTTACTGAAAATATGACAAAAATAATAATCACGGCGGCAAATTACATACATTTAGCAATTTAAAAAAAAACAACCACATTACATTTTAATCCGAACATAGAATTCTTAGTAACCCAAAAATAGACAGCAAATGTTTTGGCAACTAAAATTTATATTATGCATGAATACTTGTAAATTATATTGTTACAATTTTATCTACTATCACAACGGAAAGAATCCAACAACTCACCGCATAGCGACATCTATTAACGCTTTTACGAACCAGGCCGACTAAGACGCGCACACAGTTTCACATTTAGAAAAGTATGATCTTTATTTAGCTTCCATACGGGCCGTAGTTATTTACGTCTGACGTATAAGATGGCGCTAGTAGTATTGAAAAGAGGTGGAACGCCGGAGTACTTTGTTTATATTGATGCTGTAAGTTTATTTTTAAAATAGAGCGTTTTATAAGTGGCCAAGGAAGTACGCGGCTCGCTATGCTGCAACAACGTCCAGACGATTCTAAACTAAAACGTTATACTTTTATTGATTCTGTACGCCACTAAAACGTTTTTCAAATATGTTTTTAGTTTACAGATAATTGTTTTGGCTTACGTTCGCACGTAAATTGTTGTGGTGCCTACTAAAAATAATTTTATTATCACGATATTGGTTTGTCACTGACAATAATACAATGCTATAAAATAAATTATGTCGCTTGTCTAATGAGATGATCATACATGAATTTGAAACGATATTACATAATGGACGCTAAAGAATTAATAGTTTTTCTACCATATTTGACTCTATATTTTGAAGACAACAAATTATAGTAGCTATCATCATTTTTTTTATTGTTACTCAATTACAATAATTTGACAAATTCATTATAAATAATTAAAAAAATATTTTGGTGCTTATAGCAATACAAATTTTAAAGTAATATCTATATCAAGTAAATCACTTTCGGAACGATAAGGTAGGGTAAATGACCCGGTTTTGGCCAATATTATTAAAATCCAATTTTGGGTATTTTAATAGTTACGAGGAATTGAGCTTTTGACACAATGGTATACGTTGAAATCATATGCTTGTCTATGCGTTACTTACAATTCTTTGAAATCAAAAAAAGAAATCAGTGGCCAAACACTGGTCGATACCCTCCCCTACCCTATCTAAAAATTTAACTGGCACGGAGAGGTATATTTTAGGACGAGATTTAATTCCTTCGGAAAGTTAACTTAAGCAATTAGTTTGAACGCAGCTATGAACACAGTGCTGTCACAGCATAGACGTTCAAACTATTAAGAATTATTTCATTTCATAACATTTTTATGCATTCAATGCTGTACTTGTGACAGAATAGTAAGAAAGTACTATTACGTTAACAAATACAAGTATAGAGAAATAACTTCCAAATAAACGGTAATCACAATAATTGTTCTAGCTGTTCGCCCGCGTTAGTTATAGGTTATGTCACACGCGTATTATTGGGTTTTTAAATTTCATTAAAAGACTACATTTGTAACTTTCTATAATAGTGCTATGACTTGATATTTTATTGAAAAGTAAAAAAGTGTTCCCGCATATGAATTTTAAAGGTTCTGTAAACAGTTACAGAATTTTGACAGCAAAATGTGGATTTATGAAATTTTTTCTTGATAGAAAAGAAAAAACAAAAAGTTACCTCAGAAATTGATTATTTATCGATTTCTTTTTGTAATTATGCCCTTTTTATAAGGATATTGACAAACAATTGAGTTATTTTGTATCCGAATGCTCAGCTAGTTTTAATATGTATATAAATCGAGAACCGTAAGAGAGTCGTAATCGTTTATTATGAAATTCGATACAACAGTGTTAACAGGTTCAAATAAGGCCGGCTCTAATACCGTAACGTAAGTGATGTAATTACGAAGTGTAACACCAACATTAGTCGAGATGTTATTGTTATGCGTCTGTGAGAATCATAAATATTAACTGAATTATTGAAATCAATTTAATTTATTTGTATATCGATCCACGTTGGTTTGAAGACTAAAGGAAAACTTCATCATGCCCAGAATATTAATGTTATCACTGCTGGGGATCGGGCCTTCCTTATGTATGGAATCCAATCAATTAGGGAAAATGGACCATGACCCACGCGGACCCAATGCGGATTGGTGGGTTGTAAACGGCAATAAACTCCGCCTGGACCAATGGCTTAACGTGTCTTCCGAAGCACGGAGGAGTTCCAGATAACTATTTTTTGACCGTCCGTTGCAAAAGTTGCTTAACAACCATATCGCAAACCGAGCGCACTAGTCACAGCGAGCTCCTCAACGGTAACTAGTGTTTGTAAATAATCATTTTTGTCTTTACACTTGTGTATGCTAATATTTATAAAGAGGTAAATTCTAACGTTGTTTTTTTGTAGGCGGTTATCTTCGGGAATACTGCTACGATCATTTATATTCTTTCACCTAAAGGAAGCTATATCAACATATACGTAAACAGTTAGTTTTTTATTTTTTTATTTGATAAAATTACTTTTCTGCAATTATAGAAAAAAAAAAATTTTGTTTTCCAATCGTTTGGGAGCCTTTACGGGTTCCATGTTCACGAGACTATGATATTTGCTATTTTTTTAATATATCCTACATAAAAAATTATGGCATTTCTGTTGGCAAATATTTGTTGTATTGATAACTGGCAACTTATTGAACATTTTCTACAAGTTAGTGGGTATAGGTCAACGGCCAATTCATATAAATATAATTATAAAGAAATTGCAGTAAGGAAACTTAGACTTGGCTCAACTTTGTCTTGAGATTTCATTACCTGTTAGAAATAAACAAGCAGCTCCATCCAGACTTGGCAATTTTTTACGGAATGTTTATGGTATCCTTTTTGAAGGAAACTGATAAGACGTGGGTTGATTAACTTATTAGATAAATTATTGTACAGTTTTCCTTTTAATTTCATTTTATATTCATATTAAAAGCAGAGCACTACGCAGAAGAAATTATGTTACGACAGTCGGTCGATAACGCTAATAGTTTGGGTGTGTTCTTACGGTTTCTCATTAGGGTCACCAGGAACTCCAGATCTTCCATGATCCTAGTTTTGATAGTTTTTCCTCTATGTAGGCGTTAAACAATTCTAAAAAATTCGTTAAAAAATTCAAGAGGTAGACCTCTGTACTAAATTTCAGCGCTCTAGGTCAATGGGCAGTAATGCAACCACTTCCATTTTGATGATCAGTAAATCGAAATGTCAGTGTCGAAAATGCGAAAATTTGCTTTCGCTTTGCTTCGGAACTAAATGATCTACCGACTTGAAATTTTGGATTTCAAGTGTAGGATAATAGTTTATTAGATGACGGAAATTTCTGAAATTTCAGAGGTTCCCCAATAGGAGTCTGAAAATGAGCCATTTTTTTCCAGAAATGGAGGGTACGGCAAGTGTTGCTTCGCGCTCGACTTGGTGGGGACACTGCCGTGCCCACGGATCATACAAGGATGGCCAGTTTTTGTTTAGCAAAATGGGGCATTTCTTTTTTTAGGTAGGGTAAAGTGATAGATATCTTATTTGTAATTTACCCTACTATAATATTCACATAATTTCGAAAAAAGGACGTCGTTTCGTCCTGGGGTTTTCTTTGGGTATACCGGGATCGAGAACCGAAAAGCGGGATGGTTCCGTCGAAAACGTGACGTTTGGTTACAGTTTTTATTCCGCTGCATTAATAAAATTTCATACAAGCACGGACATTAACGTTCAATCGTTTGTCGCGTATTTATTTGTCGCAAATATGAAATGGCCTTAAATGATTCAATATGATACATACCAAATTATAATAACAACAAATATAATCATTTATAACTTTGGCAATCGGCTTATACTCCCGAAATAAGAAACTATTACAAGACATACAAAATTTTACATTTTTGAATTTTAAAATTTCTGTATTGTAAGTACACTTATGACAGCGGTAAGTATGACTCTATGGTGTATAAATGATAAAGTTTATAAATATAAATGATAGATTTTGAGCCGAACATTGAATTTTGTGAATTTATTTTCGTGGTAATAAATAGACACAGTAATCCAGATATGTGAAGGCTTTATGTAAACAATAAAATAATGTTTGTATATTATTCAGTATAATACATGAAGTCATACACTGAACTGATATTATAAACAATTGGCTCGCAGCTTCATGCTGATCCGACGTAATACGCCGGCTTCCGCAACTAAAACGAAACTATGTCACACATAATAGCTGGCATGTTCTTTGTGTCAATCATGACACATTCCCGATACAGTGCTCTATTCTTAGATAATGGTGCCAAATTTAGTCATTCAAGCGCATGACTGCTATGAATAAACCGGTACGAAGGATGCTGCAAGGGCCGGAGGATCATCAATCACCGGTCACATAGGTCAAGGAAGCGAGATGGATGGTGGCGGAGCAACGGTGCCTAGCCATCGGCTGGCGGTCGCCGGCTGTCGGGCATCGAGCGTCGAGAGTCGGGAGTCGGGCGGGCGGCAAGCGCGTGGGCGGCCCGTTGTGTTTACGGGCGGCAGTCCTGCGCGCAGCCGCCGCGAGCGCCGGTCCGCCGCGCGCGCACCCTACATTCAGTTCACGGCCGCTCTATTAACAGACGGCTATTTCGGCGCATAATATACCGAACGGTGCGGAGCAGTATTCAGTTTCGCGCGGGCAGGTGCGCGAGCCGAGGTCGGACATGCGGACCCCCTGACCAGATGTGACCCGCGGCCATGGAGCGCCGCCGCCGCGCTGCCCGCCTCGACGCGCCCGACCCCATGACGAAGGTGGCGCGCCGCCGCGAGAAGCCGCGCGAGCGCTGGCTCCTCACTCGAAAGACATGGAAGTACATGTCGGATGCCGGCCGCCGGCTCATTCCAGACGGTGCACAGAATAGATTGGAGGATGTACCGCGCATCGAGGCTTATTTTCAGGATGTGTGCGCCAAAGAGCCTCGGTTCTTACTTTGGCGAAAAAGCTCGTACCCGGGGGCGTTACCGCGACCGCGTCGCAAAAAGCGACCTCGCGGTGGCTCGGTGCGAGCTCGTTCGCCGTCTGATGACGTGCTCCCAGCGCCGACTCGCCCCACGGAGCTCTTTATCCCGCACACCTCCGGCGGTCGGTTTGACATAGCGAAGCTTCGCCGCGATTTCTTTGCGGCTCCACCGTCAGCCCCATCTGGTTCTGGTTTCCAACCTGGATCTAGTGGGACATCCGGCGTAAGATTTCATGTTGGGTCGAGCAGTTCTTTGCGAGATGCCAATCACAAAGAACCTACAGAGGAAGACGATGACAGTAGTCTAGTAGATTTATTGCGCAAGTACCTGAAATTAGAAGAGAATACGGGAGTTGCGAAGGTTTCGGACTCTGAGGAATTAGTGCGTGTTTTGCGGAGGTATCTAAAAAGGCAGGCAGATACCGTACCCACAGACTCCGATGGAGACCCGACTCAGCGTACTCTACTAGAAAATCTCGGGCGATACTACTGTCGCTCGCCAAACAGGGATCATATAGTGCAGGACTTATTAACTGACAGAAATTTATTAAAAAGACTATATCATGACCTTCGTAAAACTAAACCTTATCGCGGCGGTAGAAGCGGTGGTGGTGGTAGTGGTTTTGGACCTAGTGGCCTTATGTCAGTACCAAACTCTAACGCCAGAGGTTTTCCGTGTAGACTCAATAGTGTGCCCCGTGCTAGCGATGGCGATGATTCTATCCGATCACCACCGATGTCACCCCCGCCTCTCATCGAAGTATACGGGGAATCTATGGAAGATAAGTTGATAGACAGTGGAACGCAAACGGTACCGATTCCAGAGGAAGTGTTATTAGAAATCGAGAGAGCGTATCGGGAAAAGTTAGAAGCAGCTACTTCACCTACGAGCCCAACAAGCCCGCCACCTGAACGTAAGCCAGCAAGACGGCGATCTAGCGTGGATCACGATGACGTATCTCAATCCGTAAGCGACACCATAAAACGGTATCTTCGAATGGCTCGCAAGAAAAGTGTAGATGCGGATAAAGCTGATCGCTTTAAGCGGATCAACTACGACAAGAACTTGAGGAATATAAAGCCTCGGATGCCTGGGGAGGTGGACGACGATGGACCGCACAAAGGTTGTCAGACAGAAGAGGGTTGGATTCTAACATATAGGGACTTACAATTTGCATCAGTAGCGTCGACGCCGACGTCTCCACCGTCGTCGATGTCTCCTTCCACGTCACACTCGTTCCTCTCAACGATACTAGGGCGAAGTGCTCCAGCTGTGTCACCTGCTTCAGGTGGCATGCAGAAGTCGCGGTCTTCTAGCAGCGTAGTGCAAAGCGTCAGCAAGCGGCTCTGGCGCACGAGGAGCCGCAGCTCTAGTCGCGCAGCCTCCACCTGGACGCCTCAGGTCAGTCGCATTGTATTCTGTGTTTGTGTGGAATAGCTTCACTTATAATCATTTATCGCACTTCCTGTAACGGTAGCTTTCTTCTACATTGCAAATCGTAACGTAACAGATATCAGTTTTGTTAAATAGTTAGGTTATTTCTGAGTGCCAATAGATGGCTCTGGTTTTTATTTGAAATTTATTCAGCTCTTTATTTTTAGTTTACAAATATTATTTTGTTTGTTACCTCATCACTTTTTACTGGATAGACCGATTTTAAAGCAAGTGCTTGCCGTGTGGTTCCATTTTAATTTGGTTCTGATCTGGCAATGGCATCTATAAGAAAACCATATAAGTCTTAAATATACATGATGTTTGTTACCCCAAAACTTAATATGTCACTAAAATGCATGAAATAAAATGTTAAAAAAATTATGGAACTGACTTCAAATTTTAAAAAAGTGAATAATAATACTTATCTTTAAAGCAGTTAAATTTTTAAGAAACATTGAAGTCAGGCGGTTAATATTTTACTAACTACAGAAGAAGCAGTCCGATTTCAATGTTTCTTAAAAAATTAACCGCTAAGATAAGTATTATTTTTGACTTTTTTAAATTTAAAGACGGTTCCATTTTTTAAGTTTTTTGACACTTTTTAGCAACCAAACAGCTTAATTTCGATGTAGGTAAATAAATGGCATAATGTCGTAATATGTTTTGATATAAAAAATATTAACCTGTTACTATTAAAAATATCTTTAAAATTCTTATATCAGAGTAGCGCCATTTATTACCATACTAGCTCTTTTTTCGCGACTTCGCCTTTGTATATTATGATTTAGTTTCTCGTAGGTGAAATAATTTTCAATTTGTCCAGTGGTTTCGAACCCTCTTTAACGCAAACAAACAATCAAATCTTTCCTCTTTCATGATGATTTAGTTTAGGATAGACAGTTATACAGCATAGGTATTAATTTTTTCACGGTTATGTTACAAGTTTTTTAACTATCTATCAATTAAAAACTAAGTTTTGGTTCACTTTTGGTGAATTATCCATTTCACATTATGGTCTATAAAAACTATAAGTCTTAATAATTCCATAGGTACACAATAAGCCCTTCCATTTGATATGTCCCGTAGTATAATTTGAAGAACTTTTTTATTTTCTATTTACTTTTCAAAGGGTCACTAACGCTATGTTTCAAATTCATATACATCGTATTTGTGTCACTCATTTATATATGATACTATTATAACCAGCGTCGAACTTGACGTTAAATACAGCGCTGTTACAGCAGAGAGGTTCAATAAAATAAACCCTACTTCAAAAGGTAATATAGTTTTTATTTCGTTTAAGTTCTGAGTTGTCTCAACTTTGAGTTCGGGATTAGCATAGCTGTTGCGTAATTGTCTATTTAAATATCTATCTCAATCCTTTTTAGAAGTATTATAACGATTGTGATACACTTTTGTAATAATGTAAAGTTTAATTGCGAAATCGGTTTCGGAAGAAATGATGATTTTAATGATCATTAACACATAAAATACTTAGGAACTGAAACTCAACATAATATTTACGTCTGACGTTTGCCTTAGATAATTAAAGTTGAATTATTGATAATTCAACTTGTTGTTGTTGTTTAATATCTTTCATGAATACGTCGCGATCTAAATCACATGTCAAATAGTTATCATATATATCTTTGATATCTGAAAGAAAGAATTGAAAGTACATGCGATCTATTTAAAAATTAGACCCTTTGATTAAAGTTGCAGATTAATGAGAAAAATTGAATTATTCGATGACATGTGATCGATTTCAACTTGGTGTCAATCAACACATAACACAATCAATCCGGCATTAATCAGGGGGCCAATTCTGCTAAATAAATTTTGTTTAAATCGAATCGAAAACGGATAAACCGAACGAAATTACAGTTTTTAATGGTTTTCCTATTGTACAAAGTGACATATGTCACAAAGTGACATGGTTGCCTGGAAGAAATTACTTTTTAGTAATAAGGCCGCCAATTGTGCATTCACATTTATTGTATCCTTATATTTGTTTCTGTCCATTGGTGTACAATAAAGAATTTTTCATTCATTTCATTCATTCATTCATTCATATGATACAATTTCAGCTAAAATAGAACTGGAATTGTATCGTATGTCACTTTGTAGAATAGGAAAACCATTAAAAACTGTAGTTTAAAATAAATATAAAATAGAACTGGAATTGTATCGTATGTCACTATGTAGAATAGGAAAACCATTAAAAACTGTAGTTTTGTTCGGTTTCGATCCGTTTTCGAATCGATTTAAACAAAATTTATTTAGTAGAATTGGTCCCCTGATCAAGATCACGGATTGATCGTCTAATGGCCCGATTAGATATATCTAATTGCCGTAGATGGAAATGACAATTTTAAACTTTGTAGCTCCAGTGAATTGTGCCAATCAGTCAGCCTTAATTATTGATTAGAGAAAACCGGGTGTGTTTCTGAATCGAGAATTTAAAGTTAAGCACGTCTCAAACCGTACTTAAATGTCACTTAAACAGGTTTTCGTTTCTGATTTTAAATTATTTTTTGACTTGTGAAAGATAAAAAATAAGTAATTGAGAATAATCAGTTGGGAATTTGTAATTTTCTCAATTCAGAAAGCGGTCGAGCCCTTTTATCATATATTTTTTAAATAACGTTAAATATGTCTTTGCAAGCATAATTTTTCTTTGCATCATCACCAGCCTTTTCACGTCCCACTGCTGGGGCTCTGGCGTTCCCTATGAATGTAATCGAATAGGAAGAATGGGCCCATAACCATTACCCACCACTCGAGTCCAGTACGGATCAATTTGTGTTAACGACTGCAGACCGGGACTAATGGCTTAACGTGCACGTACAATATTTTTTTGGTCACCCATCCTATAATCGGCACCTGCGAAAGTTCCTTAACTGCCGTATCGCAGATCGAGCGCTAATCACTGCGCCTTCGAACTCTTCCTTAGCAATAACATATAAACTAATAGTTACAAAAAGAAAAATAACGAGTATCCCAAAGATTTCTTATCACCGTTTTGATGGTGTCGCAATTAGAATAGGAATGTTCATGTCCTACATAAATAAAATATAAATAGAAAAAAAAATCCATAATAATAAGATAATTAGTACATAAATATTCATTGATAAATAATTTCAATTTTGCATAACAGATGTCGCACTGCCATTTTGAATCGCGGCATGATTGTGTGCTTGATGATTTATTATACATTTGTGATTTTTAACATAAGTCTTTTGAATATTACCATAAAATAAATGGTTTTACGAAACTTTAGTCTTTCATTGAATCCTCGCTCTTGACTACGACTTGTTCAAGGGATGACGGCGAATTTTTGTTTGTTTATCTATAGGGTAAATTGTTGAACAAAATTAAACTCGTATTTTTTCTTTTTTCCGAATAATTAAACATGACGTCACTCTTTGGTACATTTTCTACAAAACCATGACCCAGTCCTAAACTTTAAAGCCTGTTATCTAAGCTATTTATCGTTGAATTAAAGTTATTCTATTATCTTCTATTATCTGACTGATATTTTCTATTATCTGACTGATAAACTAATTAGAATTTCTTTTTTTTTACCCATTCGTCATCCCTACTATGTACCTACACTGTAAACCGTATTTTAGCTTCATGTCACTTCAAGGGATATTTACAAAAACTTTCTGTAATAATATTTACTTTTTGTTTATTATCATTTAAAATTCATTGTTATTGAAATTTCGTGTTGTTTTCATGATTTATTTGACTTTTAAGTGTGTGCGATCACGTGATGAGTGAGTTTGAATGAAGCGGTTCACTGCGATATGTTTCATTATAATAAAATAACAGAGCGAGTTAGCAATATCGTAGAGGCTTAAATGTCATTACGCCTTTCCAGGGGTCCGACACTCTAGCCTTGATTCTAGGGATAGGGTAAGACATCTTATGACAATGTTTCGTTTTATGTTACTACTTTGACATGTCTTTTGGTGGTTAACTTTGGCATAAATTACCAAGGTAACACTGCTATCAAATACATAATTGTAATTTTTTATCTTACGTTCATTGTTACTAAAGTATATGTCAAAGTAAGTTGTAAAATGAAACGAACTATCCCCATAATAGCGATCAGATGATGTATCCTATATCTAGAATCATGGTTAGACAGTTAGACGGTCGCTCTGTAGGTCTCCTTCCCCAGCAGAGGGTACGCCGTAGAGAATTTGATAGGTAGACCTATGGTGACAGAGGAGAGTCCCACACTACCCTTCCGTTCTCGAGGCGGCAGGGTTTCCCTGATTTAAAAGGAGCCTAAGTCTAATTTTAAAACCTATCACAATCCCTTTCAATTTGCCATTTGAAATATAGTCACGAACTAGTTGACATGTTATCTATCCACCTATCTATCGATAAACCACACACATCGCCAGCCTATAAATGTACCCCCCATGACTCAAACCTTCCCTTCGTATGAAATCGGATCAAATTGGATAGGGAGAATGGGCCATGACCCACCACGTGGGCTAAGTGTGGATTGGTGGGTGATATCGACTGCAGATGCAGCTAAGACCAAACGCTTAACGAGATTTACGAAGCATGGAGGTGGTTGAGATATGAAATTTTTGATCACCCATCTTATGACCAGCCATTGCAAAGTTGTACAGCAAACGTATGTAAGACCGAGCGCGCTAACTACCGCGCCCTTGAGCTCCTCCTTAGAAATATTTATATTTTTCCCATCTCAAGAAAGCTGTGCACGTAAGTGAGACACATTATGTATATTTAGTTGTTGTCAATATATTTCATCTGGTCGGTTATTGTAATAACTTTAGCAGGAATTCCACGGCTCGTGCCCGCTCTGTTTGGGTACACATACCACATTATTTTTCGGTGCGAGTGGGTAATTCTGTATATTGTAAACAGTAACGCGTTCGATGGAAATGTGTCGGGTTGTAGTCGGTTTCAGTTTAAAATATACTTTC